CAGAAGAGAACACTTTTGGTGATAAAAGCTATGAGAGCGATTGTAACAGCAAGGAAAAGAATGAAAACCCTGTTAGACCGGGACGAGCTAATGATATTCAGAAAATAGGAGGATGAAGAGTGTTGTCATCAACTGGCCACATTTACACAGCCGGTTCTCGACCTCCTCCATAATCCCTTGACGCCTCCAGATTATCCAAAATGGGTAGTTCACCCTCTATGAGAACCACTGTCTTAACTGATACGGAATATTTAGTTTACTTACAATGTAGGTGCGTAACTTATGGATGTTTGAGTTGTGACCAGGAAGACTTTGTTCTAGACATCAGTAGAAGAACTGGCACCCCAAGTGGATCCGACTCAAGCACTTGATCCAATGAATTCAGTTCCAAACGTACAATCAACCTCACCGAAGTATGTCGTTCACTTCATTCTGATCTAATTACTCTTTTTTCTTCATCATTTTCATCACAGGTCTTCTTACCATATGTTTCATTTTTATCTCATCAACTCTTTCGGTTTTCACTCATTATCAGTTTTATTTGTACGATCCTCCATGAAAGAATGACATTTGTAGGAGTAGAGGAGAACAAAATTATGCGCAGAATATTAATCAAGTTACTGGTTTAGTTGCTGGATATTCTAGTATATGCTCTTCGTTAATAGTTTATTGGTTACTTTTAAATTACAAGTGAGGTTTCTGAAGAATGATCAAAATCGAGCGATCATCCGCATCGAGTTGTTCACCTGATCTACACATTCGAGAAATTATCTCCTGATTTCTTATCGAGAATTATTTGCAGATGAACGAAAATGTAAATTCGAAAGGACAACAGAACGGATTCGTCACCAAATTCGTGCAGGCTTACGTGTATCATGTGATCCAATATTTTTGTAATTATGATTTCGTTGATGATCGATGTATGTGCGGCTCGAGAAACAATTGTATTTGAAATTCTTGATAAAGTTTTATACAATTTTTGAAACATACCTCTCGAAGCTGCCAGTTATCAGCAGATGGTTCGTATTTTTTGGGAATGTAATACTTTCACTGAGATCGACCAGAGGATATTACCTAAGAGTTAAATTCTGTTCGGTTTTTCCTATGAAATGTTCTATTGCACTTATTTTATCTCATATGATCGGTTCAAAATTAGTGGGAAGTTTGACATTTTCGATCCAATGTCTTGTTGAAAGCATTAAAGTTCGTCATGAGTAATATTCAATCAAATCCTTCGAGACATTTCACAGAATATTCTAATGATTCATACATTTTGTTGTGAAAATAGAGAATGTATTGATGACGGTGATGCACTGAAATCAATTGGTTGTCGTGCAAACGCGAACAAACGGGTCACCGCAAAATGTACCCCTGATATAAGTGAAGCAGTACATTACTGATCAATACAACGTATAAAGTTTGGAGTCATGATGAAATCGCTCAGAAATGTGAGCATTGACACAAGTCTACAGGGTACTTTTCAGCTCAATGAAACAAGTTTACCTAGTCGATCATATAGAGTGATTTGGCTCCGTCTGATATTAATATGAAAATGCTGAATGGATATCTTAAAAAATTTGAGCTCTGACCTAACCGGAACATTTAGATACAGTCGATACAATCGTCTTCTGTGATCGTAGCCATGCGACATTATTTTTCCAAAATATTTTCAACAAATTATTTTGTTATGTCTGAACAGAATTCTTTTTGCTCTAAAATACATTTTACTCACTAATTTTGTGCAGCATCGCACAGTTCAAAAGCTATTTGACCAGAGTTCTCCCCAACAACATCAATCTTCTTGGTTGTTTTTTCATGTTTCAACAGAAATTCCATGAGAATTATGAATTGTTTCATCGCATAAAATCATCCAACTTCTGTTTGACAATGTATTCGTTTGAAAACTAGATTTTTCATCTTGATATATATGCGCACACATAAGAACTGTTCAGCAAGTTCAACCTTGAGCTCTGAAACTTGTCTTCTCTTCATTTAAACCTTATGATACGTGATCTCAATGTCAATATGTTTACCCCCAGCAATAAGAACTCTAATAATATATTATAATAATGGCATCAAAACGTCCTCTAATGTCAGTCGACTTCGTCACTCACGAGTTTCATTGTTTACATTGCTTAATTTCACAATAGTCGTTCACATAAAAATTCAGTGTGTCGTCGTATTGTAACGGATTTTGATGCAACTCGATTGGTAATTGCAGTTCTATTATGTTGTCGATAATTTCAGCTTTCACTCGATTCATCACCACTCTCCGATTATCGACTGCGAATATTGAATGCTGCTGGTGTATTAGTTAATCTCTATTCGTGTTCCAATAAATTCAAAGTTGAATAGCATAGTTTTTGAGTGCAATGAGTGAAGTGTTAAGTGGATGCGAGTTGAGGACACAGAACGGTGACGTGGTGACGGCTGATGACGCACTGAAGGTTCGTTTCTGACAATGCAACTGGAGGGCATCGTGCGAATTTGAAATTTATCAACGTTTCACTTCGAAAATAATCACAAGCAGCAGAGCAGAATCGTCATTCTCGCATATTTTGTTTCCGTTGATGATAGATCATTTCGGACACCTTCTTTCTTTTTGAATAATTTGGCTTAAGGGAGTTTTTGAACGATTTGAAGTTTGTGCCAAATAAAATTTGTGCTATATGTTAGAAAGTTAGAGCAATAGGGGCAAATGAATTGAGTGTTTTCAGGAAAAAATTGTGGGATTGTATTTTTCAGCACATTGGTGTTTTTGGTGCAGACGTTTCACACCGACATTAAAGGTTTCATTTTTGGAATTCACAAAGTTTTGCTCAAATGGTTTTCCCTTAAACCTCTTGGATGAAATCTATCTGCTTTTCTCATTTTGACAGCACTCCAAATTTGTTTTGATTGGAAATCGCTGATTTGATTGGGATTTGCAGGAGTTTTACGAAGAAGTTGGCAATGAGGAGATGGAAATTATTTTTGTGACAGCTGACAGGAATGAGAAGGCGATGATGGATTATTATAATGATTCACATGCAAAATGGTTGTATATTCCGTTTGGGAACTCGCATATTGAGTGAGTGTTGGATATTTTCGCATTTGATCGATGAAAACAGAAAAATGCTCGACAGTCTGATCAGAGAGATAGGCAATCATGCTCGTATTATTTGAGTGATGTCCACGAGTACATTATCGATATTTCAGTATGTTATGGAAAAAGTATGGCGTGCGAACAATGCCGACACTCATTATTATCAAGCCGGATGGAAGCGTGATCACCAGAAATGGTGTTTCAAACGTTAAGGTCAGCATCCAATCGGAAACTTTTCTTTGTGAATTTGCAGTTGTCTTCGCGAATGTCTTTCGTTTCATTCTCAGAGGAATTCTTGACTTTTACTCATTGCCTATAGTAGATCAAACGCCTCGTTCGATTAGATGTATAGTTAATTTTTAAAGTTAAATTCGTAAAATGTCGAACTTTTCAAATAATGGATTTTAGAGGAGAAAACCCACTGAAACGCTACGACAATGGAAATATGGTGAAGTGGTCGAAGAGAGCAAAAAGAAATGCTCAATTATGTAAATTGTTGTTATGGCTGACTCAGCCTCGCGCATTGATTGTGATTCGTTTTTGTGTTTCCATAATATGACTGATGCTCATTTGATAGAAATCATTAATTTTGATTATATTCTGATAAAATTTTGTTCATATTGATATCGGTCGACGAGCATATAATGTAAACGTACGGTTTGAGCGAGTTTCATGAAACTTTACAGTAAGATAAGCTCAGATTGATATTTTATTCTATTGACAAATGCAACCTTGTGTGATTCAACCGAATTGCAATCGAATATAATAAACAACGAATTCAATTAACGCTCAGTACTCGATGCGAACATCTCAATTATTGAGTACCATTGTTATCTATGTTTGATCATCTCAGGAGAGCAAAAACCACATTTTCGTGGTCGCCGACTGAAAAATTTCGTCTCCGTCGTTCCCTGTCCCTGACATGAGTTTTTTCCGTCCCCGTACCACAGTATGAATTACACAAAGAGCTCAAGAAAATAAACCTGCCAAATGGAAAATTATATGAGTACTCAATTGAACGGTAAGCGTGGTAAGACGACTTGATTTTGGATGATGCTATCGTAAAATAATCACACAGAACATTCAGTTGAACAAGGTTGCGTGAGTTTTGTTTGAAGAATGTTTCGAATGATACATTTTGAGTTGACGATGGCATAGAAACGAGTTTGTTCGGAACGGAGGAATTACGAGCGATTCACATTCATCCATCCATTCATGTGCGCATGCGCACTCGCGATCATGCATGACATAAATGTACGACGACGTATTCATGCAATTGGACAACAACATCATGACAACTACAAGACATCATCTATCGACTTCGTTCATTCGCTCACCTTTCTTTTAGCGGTTATAACAGTCATTCACTGTTCATCTTGTTACATCTTATTTAGATGGGATGAGCCGTGACCTCTCGACTTATCTGAACATTCATTTATCGAGCAGTTGTTTCTTTGTTTATTGTTCAGCAACGCAAAAGTCGTCTTCGCTCGACAACCGATGTTTTCTCATCAGTTTTGTCGAATTTATTAAATCTTATAAAATAAGAAAGATATTGCAGTCTAAGATACAAGTTATTTCGTGCTGATACAGTCCGCTAGTAAAGCTCTAATGAGTCATGCACACTCGTGAAAGCTAGTCATTTCACTTATTAGGGAGCTAACAGTGGATGGTCTTGAAACGTTGCATGATGAAATTACGATAAGCAAGTTGAAGATAATGATGACTCGTAGAAATGAACGTTAATCGATGTTTGTGAATGTATTGGTGTTCGATCTCGCTGTCTATTCGAATTTGTTTAGCATATCAAAAAATGGCTGAAGGTGGCGATGGAAAACCCCCAGAAAAGAAGACTAATCCGCCACCGGCATATGGCGATATTTTTCCGGGTCCGGAGAAGATCGCCAGCATCTATCCAGGCATGCCAGAGGACAAAAGTGATGAAAATGGCAAGCTTGACGATTCAAAGAATGGTGGACCACTGCCGGAGAAACCGGAACTTTCGGATTCTACCGATATGGCGTTGATGATGAAGGCGCTGGATTTTGCGGCACGACGACATCGACATCAGCGCCGAAAAGATCCTCCACAGACTCCGTTCATCAACCATCCGATTGGTAAAATCTCTTCCATTCTTGCGCAAGTGATCATTACACACCGATATCCTTTGCTGCTCAATCGTAATTGTTTGATCACTACTCAGAGTGCACGCAATTGATTGCAGGTGTCGCCTATATCCTAACGAATGAAGGAAAGGTCAACGATCCCGTAACACTTATGGCTGCTGTTCTGCACGATATCGTCGAAGATACGAAGACGACTCAACAAGAAGTGAAGGAACTTTTCGGTCATGAAGTAACTTTTCATGTGTTTTATCGATTTTTCATTCGAACTTCTTGAATATCCCCTAAATCATTCGCCATTTCAGTTTAATTCATGCACGAGTCCTTACGATACTAATAATAAGTTGCATATGCGCTCATACCGAAAGCATTGAAATTTGCAGAAGAGCAAATAAATAAACATATGAATCAATGAATAAACGAAATTGAACTGCGCGAATTCCTCAGAAAAATCTAGCAACTCAGCATCCTAACCTCACCGTAAACTGATCATCTCAATTATTCATGTTCACCTTCAGGTAATGACAGTGGTTAGCGAATGTACACTCGACAAATCACATTCGCGTGAATCCAGAAGGAAATTTATGTTGGAGAACGTAACGAAGCTCACTCACAGAGTACTTTCTTCACATTCCATTGTGTTTCAACGTCTCACGCTGATAGCAAAAGATGTGCAGACTGAAAAATGTGCCCGAACATAAAACAGGCTTATTTGTAGTCGGAATATAGCTTGATGGCGCATATGTCCATAATTCCGCCAATTTTCACGTAGAATACTCCATCTGATATTACTGGAATGAATGATAAACAGACGTACGAGATTCGAGAGCAAATTAAAGAGAGTGATCAGTGTGCAGATCAATTGAAGATTCAGTGATTTTCAGGCTAAACTCGTCGAACTAGCGGACAAACTGTACAATTTGCGTGATATTGAGCGTGTTCTACCAATTGGATGGAACGGACATCATAAGAAGGAATACTTCAAATGGGCCAAAGAATATGTGTCCAAAATGAAAGGGACTAACGATGGTCTGGAGATGGCGCTGGACGATGTTCTGAACAGGAACCTTAAATGAGTGTTGATTCGAGCGGAATATTTCTGTCGTCAAAGCATTAATCTATTACTCAATTCTATCTCCTCATATTAATAAGTAATTGTATCCGAATATAGAAACATCGTATCAGTGGGCGTTTCGCTTATGGCTTGGTTGATCCTCATTCGATACATAATTTGTTTTGATTCATTCTGATAAACCACTTCTTTATCTATCTTTGCCCTCATTTCATGCGCTGCAAACTGCTTTCATCAACGATTTACAACATGCATTCTATGCGACTTATTGATAATCTTGTTCTTAGAAGTATCAGTTCGTTGGGAGGGTATTTTTATGATTGAATGCGATCAGAATATGAAATGCAAAATACTCACCTAAAATTTGCATTCTCTCATCACTAACGATAAATAACCACTTATAAATAAATACTTCAAAGCATGATTACGCCCACTACCTCTGTTTTTACTAGTCGATGTTTAGAATATCCTCATCATTCAGCATTCATTCCCTGATATTATCATCGTATTCATTTAGAGTGAATCATCTTCAATAATTTCGCCACCAAAAAACTGCTCCAAATGTACACAGCAAAAAACTAATCGGATCAGCACGTTCGAGTGTAGCAACGAAATTTTTGAATGGATTATAAGATTAATATTAATTTGAAATTGAAATATAACTATGAGGTTGTTCGAATAAGCTGCTGAACGAGATTGCTAGGTGATTCATGCGCTGCAATATTCATGCAAAGAAGATAGTTTGCATGATGGTATAAATGTGTCTGTACGTGAACTTCAAACACATACAAATGATACACATCAGTGAGCTTCTATCGAAATGTTTGACAATGGGTGCCGCTGAATTCGAGTGAACCATACCATTTTCATGTCGCATTTCAGTCATCTGGCCATTGAGATTCGAAATTTGTTGACGATCATAAATGCGAGCATCTTCCACGATCAGTGAACATGTAAACGCAGTTTACGATACGTTTTGAAAACCGCTTCGTTTTCGGATTGATGCCCTGGTGGAGCGAAGACCAGATCTCGCTCAATACGCCAGTATTTTTCCGTATCGTGTCATTGTGCCCTCATTTATCCAGTTTTGCTCAACGCCTTTGTGCTATCGGCTATTTTCAATCGCTATGAGGCATATTAGAAGTTCATTATAACATTAAAGTTCATTACCACCTGAATTTCATGACATATCTTTAAAATTGTTTCACTTGACACTAAAAACATCCATTGTAAAATCTGACAGCATCGGTTTTGGCTATTAGACTTGAGACATGGAACGCATTTATTATACAACACTCCCCATTCAATTTATTGTATAATCATATTAGTTCTGTTTATTATTTGATTCGACAATTTTGGATTTGTAATGTCAGTTTCTCTCTACTGCTTTTTCCAGATACAGCGATTAGCTGCTTCAAACTGTGAAGTTTCAATAAACAATTCAAGACATTGCAAATGATCTACAGCTCTGCACTGATCTTGCTGTATGCAGTATCAAGCTCTATAGCACTAGAATGCTATCGTGGTAGTAACTTGTATAATGAGGCAGCGGTTTACACGAAAACTTGCACCGAGAATAAATTTACATATCAGGGACACTGGTGTATAAAAGTGATAAGCGGCGATAACGTTGTTCGTAGCTGTGATGAACTGAACTTATGCAAGGTAAGTGAACCATCCATCTGATAGTGTCTCAGTTTTGGCGATTGTCACGGCAACTTTCAAAGATCCTCGCTATGTGAATGCGGGTTTCACTGAGAATTTTTTGATCGAATCTTTTGGAAAAGTGAATATTTCTTCCGAGCTTAAAGGTCTGCTAAAAATCCTGATCACACACTTCATTACTATGCCATTTGTTGTGCTATTAATAAAGAAATCGTTGTTTATCGTTTCAGAGACAAGGCGATAGCTGCATGAGGGATACGGTCTATGGACAAATGCGAGGTGAACTCTGTTGTTGCGATTCGAATTTGTGTAATTCTGTGCAACGTTTCAGTGCATCTCTTATTACCGTTCTTCTCACTGCAATTATTCAATTTACAAACTTTTGATGAACTATATAATCGTAAAAACATCCGGATCATTGTGTTCTTATCATTCAGATTCATTCTGATCAGATTGATTGAAAGAACATCTTTGTGAATTTACTCGAATGGCAATAATAAATGCTAAGTAATAACATCAACTTGTTAAAAGTTTGCAAACTACTGTGAGAATTACGCAGCTTCATTGAAAGCAGGTGTCTAAAATTGTGCTGAATACTCCGAGTGCTCATACAAGTGCTGAAAATCGCGAGCCGATCCCCGGAAATGATCCGGTATATTGTGAAGTGATTCATGAGCAAATAAGACCTGAAACTTTACCGTATTTAAAGTTGATGCGAACAACGATAGGGATCATAGGATTTCGGCCTTTCTTTACTCACATCTTATGGGCTTTGTATCTCTTGAGCACAGGATTTTGATCTTTCGTTCCAACCAAGATCTACCGTATCCCTAAGTCTCACTCAAGGCCTGAACCTATCCATAACCTGGACCATATTCAACTGTTCATGATTAAATATCTGAGGAACAAAGGAGCGCTTGTGAACACATGTTTTTTTATCGAGATCGACCACAGATAGACTCAAGAGGTCAGTAGAGGGATATTCGGTGGCTTTTATCAAATGACCAAGGCTGAACGTCTCACCTTAAGACGTCTCCTCAACGACCTGTGCCGTGCATCTTTTACAGATTTCAGCTTTTCAGCACGTTCTTGTTTTTCTCGTGCCGAAAGATTTTGCACCTGAAAGTTTAGATCGTTGCTCACATACAGATGCATACTGCTCATACCACTCTCGAACTTATTCAACTGAACGGATTCTTGGATTGAGACCGATCAGCGACTGCGAACTTATTTATCGGCTTCTGTCAGAGAAGGCCAATGAAAGGTATCTGCTTCGCGCATCTGGTTCGTTTGCAAAATCATGCATCATCGATTGGATAGCAACATCAACCTTAGCGGTGTTCGGACAGTATGGTCATCCTGATTAGTTGATAAAGAAGGAAGCGTAATCACGAAAACCTCAATTTTTTTGGTGACGATGAATGCACGACGCGTTTTGTCGTCTTGCATTGGTCGTGAGTACTGAATGAGAGCATGCAGACGATCTTCGGGTTTCATTGAGAGTTCAACCATTAAAATCACTCGTGCCACCTGCAAGCAGCGATTAAGTGCGAGAAGAAATGGAATCTAGTTAACTGTGTGCCATCACCTTGAACATGAGTCAATGGGAATGAATCAACAGGGTTCAGAACGAACCTGTCGTTTCCATTCTTGTTGTGTTTGCGCAATCTGATTGAATGTTCGAGTTAACATCGCAATTAGTAAATTGATCATCAGCAGACTAACCAATAACTGATAGATTATAAAGAGTAACTGAATAAAGTACATCACTATTCGAGCAAACTCTGATTCATTAAGAAAAGGCACTATAAAACAGTTGTTAGAAACATTGACAAAAACGGTAATTTTTTGCAAACAAACTGAATTCAATAGGATATCGTTAGCAAGAAAAAGTGTAGTATTTCATAGCGATTGTGAATGTTACGATCAAAAGAATACATATATCTACTATCTCTCACCTTGCCAACAGTCCTCATGAAGCTATATGGGCAATGATGAAGATGTCGATAGAGTACTGTATACTCGCCAAGAGTGGTCATAAACAAACGAATCGCCGCTTCACACGGCGACGACATATCGAAATTTGATGATGTGCCTTTTATGTAATGAACTGGATGCTTCAATACTTCCGTCGTGTTCGTACCATTAGAATATGCCCGCTCACGATCACACGCTAAGAATACGACAAAAAATCCTGAGAAGAGTTACGTATGAGTCCATGCACATGCTTCTCGGCAATATGAATGTGATCTGATCATTGATCATTTGGTTACGATAAATGTGAAGCGTTTTTATGCGAGGATTTCTGAACAGTGGACACAACATTTGCTATCCAGGCGAAAAAAGCATCCAATTGGAAAAGTCCTGCCATATTTCATGCTGACTCGGAAGATTTGCCTCAAAAAGCCTGTCCTGATGGAACAATATGAATCATTCAGTAATATCAACTGAAATGACCTTGTGAAAAACCGAGCACGAAAATCGCGTAAATGAGGAGGAAACGACTGATATCCCTCGTAACAATGTTATATATCATCAACACGAACGGTCCAACGAATTTAACGGCCCTGAATGCGTGACAATTGTTGACAGTTTCATAGTGGTAATCAATGCTTGTCTCAACTTACAAAACGAACTCTCGAAATCAGTCAAATGAAGTATTGCGGTGTAGTGTTCGTCGATTAAGTACTGAAATGCAGGACTCACCTCAGAAAGAAGAGGAAATGTACTGCAACGCATAAAACGATAATCACTGACAGAATGTCGTCAAGAAGTAGTGCCACTTTACCGAGGGTACAACAGAGACGAATCGGTACAATGGCTAATACGAAGAAAAACGAACACTTATAGGCAATCTTTGCAGGAAACGCTTTCTGAAAGATGAATACCACTGTAATCCCACATCAACATTAGATGCTGACTGTGAATCTCACGGAAGTTGAATGAAACATATTGAAATTCAAAAAATCGAGTCAATAATTTGCATTGACTGAAATAGAACTGATCGATTTCGTACTCGCTACGCTAATCTAAAATATTCAAAAAGTCAGCAAAAGTATTTCTCTGGCCGAATCGGTTTCATGATTATTCAACTTCCCGAGAACTCACGAGTACTTTCCACATCCGTCTGCGTCCACAATTGCGCAAATCTTGAAAATCGTCAAGAATTTGGTAGATCGTAGCTATAAGAATATAAACCTCAGCGATGATGAGAATCTGAACAGAGTATTCCGTTGTTGCATGAAGATGGATAATCAGTCAACAAATATATCAAACAAACCAGAGTCTTATCTAATGGTTTAGATTCAATACGAATGCTTTCAGACCAAATAGGTTCCGTGAATATCACAAAAGAACTGCTCACCAGTTGTTCTGTTGAGTTTTCGTGGCTCGTATAGTACCAAGAGATTTGACATTCATGCAATATTGACGCAGCTTAAATTTTATCGCAACGATCATTCGAATAATCATTATCATTGACTTGTTTACGGTATTATTACTATCATCATGTGCGCATTCGTTCACATGAACGAAATGAGATAAAGCCTGGTCAATAAGATGCGTCAATTCGCAGACAGACAACTTACTAATTTCAACATTGTTCGTCATATTGAACTCCTCCTGATCACCGTCCGGTATTGTCAGCGCACTTGTTCCGTCCTTTAGTATCAAAACAGTATGAGTGCTTAACCAAGTTAAACGTTTCCATTCATGAATTTTCCTCATTCTCAAAGCTTCTCTGAGAACACTTCAATTCATCAATTCTGAACCAACCACATATTGCTTTAAATTCTACTCAGTTTTGATCATTCGCTATGAGCAAATCTTTTCGATCGTATAAATGTGCTCTGTTTTATAGATTTCTTAGCACTGCAATGAGATTTGATAGACTCGCAGTAATATTTGATCAACAGAAACCAACTGGGCGTGTGCGAAATTGCGATATTTTCACTGTGCAATGTATCAGTGGGCATTGAATGCTTGAAAAGGCGAACCTTCACGAAACGAGTCGACGAACGACACATGAACACAATAAAAACCGCGACAAAATAGGTGAAAAATGCGATGAATGATATCACGAGTCTGTAAGCACTCTTTTTCGAGAATTTAATTGCATTTTGACATTGAATCATGAAAATGCCCTGGCTGGATGAGATAGCTTTGTGAATTACTCATCGTTAAATTGGATGCAATTCAGTGCTACATTCAAATCTGAGTTGTTCTCATGAAAACTTCTGAAATCCTATTAGTGAGCAATGCACCATTGGAATGGTTGATTCTTGGATCATGCATAAATCTAGTAGCGCTATTCAACAAACGGATCAATCACCTTCCGCGAGCGAATGCTTTCCATTTAGCGGTCAGCAAGTCCTCCATAAGACCATCAAAGAGGTCAAGGTGTTCACGTTTTTCCTGCAACAACAAACACTACTGAACGAATTTCGCTGGTGAGTGAGAAAAAGGAATTTGTTGCGAGTTGGAACTGCTAATGATGGACTGGTATTTAAGCTGGTATTTTGCTGTGATGCGGAAATGATTTCCATTTGTAAAATGGGTTCGTCGAAGTAAAGAACATACATTATAAACAACCATTGATAGGGCACTATCCTCGTTCAGTTCACCGTCCCTTTGGTTGATGGTGTCGATGTTTTCGAGAGGATACGATATGACTGCAACACCGTAATGAGACCATCTCACATCCGCTTCAAGTTTCAGCACTTCTTCGAACATCTACAATAAACAATTTAAATTTTTAGTCTCCATCAGGAACAACTGAAAACGAACTGATCTAGTGCTGTGATCTGTGATCTTTGTCACAGTAGTAGCGAGCAATCGAGTAATTATTTGTTTAGAGAATACAGCAGAGGAATAAGGTCAGATTAAACTTATTGTTAATCAAAGATGACCGAATGCATTCCATTTATTACTTCAGCTTTACACTCATACTTAGTCTCATCACGCTCCGATGGATACCTTTTCATCAAATAATATTCAGCAGTGTTTTTTACACTTTCAGGGCACTCCGATTAAGAATGAAACGAAATATCAGAAATGATGTTCTCGCCTCTTTTTTAGCAAGCTTTGCTGCGAGCGTTAACGGTGTATAGTGTTGCTCGTTGAAGATATGCAGGTTAGCGCCGCTATCATACGCTAATTGTACCATATTCTGTAATTTTGCTGAGATTAGTTGACAAAATGCTCTTCAATTGGCCATTTGAATAGTTCAGATACAACACTCTTGACAGTCAACTCCTTGATCCGTTTATATATGAATAACCCATCCGGCAGATCACCAAAAAGAAAAAAGTGCTTTAAAGTTTCACAAATGTAATCGCATGAAAAGCTTGGAGAAAAATGCTTGCTGCCCACCCATTTGTTATGGATGACGGCCAGATGGAGTGCCGTATTTCCGTTGGTATCCTTCAGGTTTGGATCTGCACCTTTGGCTATCAATAATCGGAATGAATCCATCTGATTCGCACAAATCGCATACGAAAGAGGATATTCACCAAAATACATCTTCCTTCAATTCTTAGCTTCATCATAGAACAATCATAAAGAGTTAATCTCTTCAGTGGAACTTCGATAATGCCGCACAGTTCTACAGCATCATTATCTTCATAAAAATCGTTTGAAATTTTCGTTCATTTCTGTGTTTTTGCCTTTTCCGTTCACATTAATAGCAAGAAATAAGATGAACTGCACTGAATCTTTCTGCTTTTTGCTGCATTGTTCTAAAGTTGATCATTTTGTGCATAATCATGCATTCTTACCCATTGTAATCGGTTTCCAAGTCCATTTCAACCCATTCGTGCTCGAGTGAATCGGTTCTTGTCGATTTCTGATCGTCCGGACAGAACAGTGCACCAACACTCCGTGCATGAACATCGGCGCCATTTTGCAACAAAAAATAGACCATTTCAGGGTCTTCATTCATTATGGCTTGATGCAGTGGCGATAGACCTTCAATGAAACACCCCGACGGCGTTCGATGAAGACAATTCTCGAGGGGAATCCTCAAAAGAAACCTTTAACGGTTGAGTTTTATTGCACTCACCATAGCACTCCTCACTTACGCAAATGTCATTGACAAGTTTGGGAAACATTTTTATGAGTTTACGAGCGAGTGAATTGTGTTGCCGAGTTCCATTCAACAAACACGCTCCAAGCAGAGTTTCACCCATCGCACCACGTTCCTTCAGACTCCACACTATTTCACGATATCGGTCTTTTTCGTCGTTTCCTCCTCCATCGAGCAACTTCAAAACTGAAATTATTCCATATCGTCTCCAGTAAATATTCGATTGATCACTCCAACGCTCTCTTTCCACAATTGTGGTATTTTCAATCGCATTATAGAAGGAAAGTGACTGATTCGGAGTGGCGACATTAATATGAGCCATTGATGAATTGAGAAAGTGACTTATCTTACATGCATTTTGAAAGTATTCTTTCTATCTCCAAAGTTACAAAGTTCGTTGACTTCTTTACCTTTTCGGACGTTCGCTGGATTGGTATATTCCTGATCGACCGCTTCCAGTACGTTTGGACCTTGTTTACCTTTGCCTTTTCGCCGATATAACGCACTCAAAAGGGCATTGCGCTGACGGTTTCTGATGAGTATAAGCTCTGAGATCGGTGCCAGCTTACCGTGACCACCACGGTACATTAACGGCTTCACCTAGAATCTCAGCGTTGAGAAAAAACCAACTTCGTTCCTCACTGCAAGCCAAACTTAACTCTCAATCTGTGTCTGATGTCTGATCTCCTCTACGATCAAATGTTCATGAGCAAACATTAAGAGATCAGGAGTCGTACCATGAACAAATCAATTGAACCGGCATTTGTTCCGAGGTAATCCTAAATTTTTTATTGATACTGTTAGCAGATCGACGGAATCGACTGTTGAGAAGAAAGTGGAAGAAGGTGAATTCTGTCTCACCTACCTCTTTAGCGATAACTTCGTCAATCAGCGATTCGTCGCCGGTGGCAATTGCGTACCGAATAAAAGGAATCAGCAAGCCACCGCCCATCGTATCGGTCAGTCTATAAACGGGGTTGTTCTTCACTGTCGTATCGGCTCGTGCTCGTTTCTCTGCAGTCATATCCCCATCCGAAGTCCACTCCTCTTTTGGCTGAACGGTATCCAATCGATCCATTTCTTTGACATATTGTTGAGAAAAGATTCTGCTATGATTAGCCATTCAAATGGCTCATAATGTCCACTTGAAATGTGATTCATGTATTTTTTCAAGAGGACTAAGTCACGGTCTGTTTCAAAGTCACTGCTTCAAACGATTTCACTGATATCTACCTGGTGATGATATCTTAAATTGTGTTTTTCCATAGTTAATCCTACTCATTATTTGCTTAGGATCTCAAGAAGTTATGAGCTGACTTCACCTTGAGGAGATTTTTAATAGTATCTAAGAAGACTTTCTTGATCATTATTATGTATAAGTTGGGACTGTTTGAATTTTCAGTCGAAGAGAACTAGAAAATATAAGACGAAGAACGAATCGAGAGCAACGTTCACGAATGACTGGCATTGTTCAAGGAGGAGTTGCATTACAGGACACAGCAGATAAGTGCATCATAGAAGGGCGCAATTTTAACTAGACTGAAGTGGTGTTGGCTGGTGGCGGTGGTGGTTATGCGATAACAATTAAGCCTAATGATTTCATGGAATCCTTTGGGGATGCAACATATAATTTGATGATTTGATTAGTTTCAGGTGTTTCGAACGATTCAGTAAACAATAATTTAAGAGTCTGAAAATGTTTTTTTGTGAGAAAAAACATTAATTCTGTGTATAAAAGAAAATAACTGCAAGCAAATGTTGCGTGATCGTCGAAAATTACCACGAATTTGATCATAAGCTTGCATTGTCATAAAAGCGCACGTTTCTTCAGCGTTGGATATTCTAGTTATTTCAAAATTTTCATGCCTAAAATTTTCAAACACCCATACCAGATAATTCAAAAAGCAACGCAAAAAGATAAGCGCATTTTCAAGTGGATTTGTATAAATCATTCCATGATATCATCACTTATCCCAAATGCAATCCGTTCAACTCAACACACTCTCACTTCCAAAACAACCAGAATGGCAGCAGCAAATCCCGATCAATTAAATAATTTGGCAGTCAAATACATCAATAATCTATAGTAATCACAGTCACATTATTTCACAAGCGGTCATCAAAACATAACGGATTTCGAAGTACAAGCCCAATTGGCGCTTTAATTGCATAGGACCAAGCTAGATCCGTCGGATTTCCACTCATCTTCATTCATCTATCAAAAATCTATCGTAAGTACCAAAAAAGACCAACACAACGTGTTCATTAGTGCACATTGGGTTTCATGCGATCCAATTTCCGTCAATAATCCCGGAAAAAACTGCGTTACTAATGATGTTCGTCTGGTATTAATTGGAGCTGTTGTGCTCACATAAGCGACACAGTATTACGAAACGCTGTCTGAATGGATTATGTATATATAACAGCGATATCGGTGGATGTTTAAAGCGATCCTCATTTGTCGACTGCACGCGTTCGGTTTCACCTTCAGTACCTCTTTTCAGTCCATTTACAGTCTATGACTGGAATTGATTTGTCACCTCTGATTGCTTCGAAACTGTTTGTTATAGAATCAGTTGCTAAACTCTTACAATATTAGTCTCAGTCAGTCGCATAATGTTACAAAATAGTTGATCCTTGCCTTGAAAATGATCTCTTCAGGAGGGAATTATCCTCCTTGCTAAGTTTTTTCATGATTTTCTCATATGTTTTCTTGAAAGCGAACTCGATTCCACTAGCAATTCGAGTGTGTTCCAAAATGGTTGAATTTGTGGAAATGAACAATTGACTGCTGAAAACGATTGCTTACAATTACCAATTCTTGGTATTTTACTGATCGCAAGTACCAAAACGTATTGACGCTGTCCGGAATTGAACCTGCGACCCTTAGTGCGTTAAGAGTACTGCTATGCTTGATCTTGAGGCATTTTTCTAGCCTCACTTCTCTCGAAATGCCATATATTTGTTATTTCCGTGATCCATTCGTCAAGTTGAGACGATCGGTACAAAAATTGTCGAAAAAGGAGCAAAAAAATTTTCCGCGAAAAACCCTGATCATACCCCCACGATCTCAAAATCGGGATCTTCGAGATATCATATCTCAGCTCCGGATTGACATTTCGAGACGATCTAGACGGCTTTGAGATGACCTTCACCATCTAAGTAAGAATATTGCAAGAATTATTCCGATCGACCAACGGAAACTCGCCTCTCGAGACTCTAAAAACCACAAAAATCGTCATTTTAGGATTTTCGGCCGATGGAGTCATTTTTTGGAAAATTCACAAATTTCATACCAATGGAACCGGAATGAGGCCCTTAATATGACGAAACATGAACGAGCTCTCTATCTGCAGTCATTCTTGTGTTATGACCCCAAAATCCCATTCTTCTCGGTTTTGAAGCATAATCGCAATCTGCCTATTGCTAATATGAACGTATTGATTGCTCTATAGTGATCAATTTGTATGAATGAGCGCGACTGCGCTATCGAATTGAGATAGACCTAAGAAAATGGCTATAGCTGGTCAGGAAAGCAAAATCGCTC